GGAGGTTAAAATGAAAAAAATAATATTTTTTAATTAGCATGTTAAGTATTTATTAGTTCATATAAAAACTGTTATACAATACAAAAACTCGTGGAAGGGCTGCAATGTCAGATAAGGGTCCATCAAATTCAATGCTGAAACAGCTGTCAGGATATTTACACTGAAAAAAAAGGTTAATAATTAATAAATGCAACAACTACAGTATGATAATTCGATAATGGAAATTAAAAGGACCTTTGATATTAATTACATTGAAACTTAACATTAAAGGAAATATACATTTCATAAAAGTATGTTTAAAGCTATTCGTGAGATATTTTTCTGGCAGAGTTTTTAATTATGGAGTTTTCTAATGTATTACAGGTATACTTTCCTAGTTTAATCACAAGATGTAACTATTAAAGGCTTAACATCGGTTTTAAACATTTTCTTTGTATTACATATCGTTTGATGTACAAATATTGAAAATAAAATATTTATTGTGTATAGGCAAAGGTATATCTTATGTCAAAACAAAAAATAAAATAAAAGGAAAAACATTATTATTATTTTCGGAATTTCGAAGTTATAAATACATAAAGCATTTTTCCGGCGTCTAAAATATAATCATAATAAGAGTATTTGAATCTAAAATTTTCACGTATTACAGTTTGGTTTAAAAGCATTAACGTTTGCGTTTGTGTGCCTTAATTTTTGAATATTTAAAATGCATTGTAATTCTAACGTTTTTGCATAACGTGGATCGGGGAGGTAACAGCAGTAGTCAGTAGTAGATATATACATGATATATTATATTATATGTATGCCACCTGTGTATTTGCATACCGTTGTTTTGTTCCCTGGAAGTTTTCACAAGCGGTGAGCTATATTATACAAAAGAGAGAGAGACAGAGAGAGAGAGAGAGAGTGAGAAAGTGAGGCAGAGGGTGACACAGACACAGACACACACAGACACAGACACAGACACAGACACACACAGAGACACACAGACACACAGACACACAGACACACACACACACACAGACACACACACACACACACACACACACACACACACACACACACACACACAAACACACACACACACACACACACTCACTCAAATACAGAGATAAAAGGTTTCAAAAAACAAAACCAAAACGTGCCAGTGGAGAAATGTAAGTTGGAAATATTTGCAGTGGCGGAGGGGCGTGTTACACACTAATACGATGCTGTATTTTATTATATCTAATTATTAGAGTTGTTAATATATTGTACCATATTCTATTCTATCGGTTTCAAGTATTAAACTACATTGTATATGTGCTATGTGCATATAGTATAATCATAAATTATTAACAGTTTAATATGCTGGACTAATGTTGAATATACTGTTTTACTGTGTAGGTACTGATGTTTTTATTACGCAGTACTACCCTAAGTATCGAGAGGCTTATTTCGTACGAGTAGTTTTCAAATGTGTATGTGGACAGGGAAATCTTTGTTACAAACGAATGAAATAAATATTAGTAAGGTTCTAATAATATTGTGACATTAATTTTGATAATATCTGAAAATATTAATTTTTTACCTATAGATTTTAATATTAGTCTATACAATTATAAATATATATCTTTTTATGAAAACTGCAATACGTATCGATATCATGAACAATACATATTGACATATTGTACGTGTACCGTACCTATATATTTTAGGATCTTCTTCGATATATCGTACTTCGCGAAGGATATCAATTATGAACACTTAAGTAATGAAATATATTTTATTGAAGTAGATTTTTATTTTGCGAAGTTAGGCACATCGTGTGTGTAAAAAATGGTATGTCATGAGTAGAATACACATAATGAATACTAACGAAAAATGATGAATTCACGATATGGTTGTTTTCCATGATGCCGACATCAATTTAGTGAAATCAAACAATACAATATAAAGAGCATGTATTATTAGTTATTACAATTTTTAAGTTATAAGTAAAATAATAAACAAAATATACAATTTATTTTGGGAGAAAAAATAACAATGGATGACCTACTAGGAGATTACTCGAGTGATGATTTAATAAAATATTATTTTAAAAAAAACGCACCAATTTCATCAGTTAGCTGGAAGCGGGACTTTTGGAGTGTAAAAAAATGTTGACCTGTAGGCGGTAATTGCATTTTAGCTCATTTACATTTGAAAATTTATCAAATTCTTTGATTGTAAATTGTAATGTTTGAGAAAGAAATAGATTATACAAAATATATAGTTTTCAGTGCATATAGTTCTGGCCTTCTGGGCCCTAGTTATAACCAATATATTCGTATTTATAATACGACGATATAACGATCGCTGTCTCGTAAAAAATAAGTAAATCATGATATTTTTTAAAAATTATTCTAGAAGTGAATAGTTTGTTTATTTATTTGTTACAATATTATGGTATAGGCTTGATAGTTGTTATTGTTTAGTCTTATCCCGATAAAAATATAAATAAGATAATTAATGTAAAGGCATATCTTGGTGCATTATTTATGTTCCTATTTAGAATGTATTATCCTTTTCTTTTTAATTGTTTACAATATGTTAAGAATTGCTATAATGTATTTATAGGTGCATATTAATTGTTATCTAAAATGTATTTATGCATGTACCTATATGGGATTAACGTCCGTTAAACAAATGAACAAATATGAAATATTACCTTATTTTTAACCACGTAAATGCAAGTATATTTCAGTAGTTTTCAGTGAATATTATTCTTCCGGCCCTAGTATAACTTATACTTATATCTTATAACTAATAAAATATGACTTCTTCATAACTATCATATAAACGTAGACAATTATATACATATTTTTTTTAGGTGGATATTTTCTTATATATTTTTTATAATAGTACCTATACAAAGTTTATATGACCTCTGTTATATCATATAGTTTTATTCCGATAAAACAATAAAAATAATAAGGATAAAATAAATTGTTTGGGCATATTTTAGTATGTGTTGAGTACATCCACTGGGAGGCTTCTTCACTTTGTTACCCAACATACTATTTTATTTTATTTATTATTATCAACTAATGAGCTCATTGTTTAAATTTGCAACAGATAACCAAATAAAAAAATTTTGAAAAAAAAAATATTTTATGGCATATTATATCAGCATTTTAAAGCGCATCAACTCTCACCCTTCGGTAGTTTTCAGTTCAAATATACTTATAACCAATAATATATTATAATGTTATGATAAGGTGAATTTATAAATCCACCTTGTGTTATAAGTTATAACCAACGCACTAATGAAAGAATAGTGTCACAATTCAGAAAACACAGCTTATGGTAATCAGCTACATAAGGTTTGAAAAATACGTTAGAAATGAAATGTTTATTAAATGGTTAAGTTGTTTTGAATGAAATAGGTTAAATTATATGTTTTTTAAATAAGGTTGGAAGATGTTGTAAATAGATGAATAATTATTAATGCTATTAACAAATTTTTGAAAATATTTTTACTTATGTCAATATTTGTGACTGAAATAATAATTATTATGTATATCGCCCGCTAAAAGAATAGTGACAAAACTCAGAACTCAGTATTAAATATTAAAGTTATATCCAGAATTATACCTATGTCAATCAAAATGATAAATTGTAATAAAGTTATTTATAATAAAAACATTTTTAATACTGAATTATGCATTTATGTTAATTATTATTCTATGTAACAGACAGTAACTAACTAACAAACAGTATGAATGCAAATAACATAATATTTAAACTGTAATAATTATTGTAAAAGAAAAATTGTTCGGTTAAACTACTGTTATACGCCCACAGATCAATAATATTAAAAAAAATTGTGTTTTTTAAATTTAATTATTAAAACATAATAGTTTGAAAGACTGAGACAACAAACGCATGGATAGCATCCTCTGAATAAAATATACGATTAATGATTATCAAGCAGCTGCGTTGTTTACAAAAATCTATAAAATTAATAACAGGAATTCAACATAATATTATTGTGATAATAATAGAATATCTGACTGCTGGCCGGTTCTATTTGTATAATTTTAGTAATTTCATATTATTCACAGAATCACAGACATGACGATAACGACTAAAGATTAGGTATACTTAACATAAAAGTAGTTTGTGTCGTTTAACTAAAGATAAAATTGTACCAAGTCAATCAAGAATAGTGTCACAACTTTAAATATTAAAATAATTTTGAGTTGTGACACAATTCATTGGCGAAAGTGATAATGTGATATTAAAGGTTTTAGGTGAGTTCTAGTAAAGTCACAAGATTTTATCACATAGACAGAACGGAGAAATTTGTATTATAACCAACCAAAATCCGAAAATCGACAATTTTGAGTTGTTTCACTGTTGTTTCAGTAGTGTGGTCTTCCTCTCAACATCCAATTCTTCACTCTACACATGCGCTTCTTCCAGATTACTCTACGACCTTTCTGTTACTCATAGTTATTAAATTATTGTAAATATATAAATATTAGAATATTATTGTAATCACGTTACTTCTGTATATCTAAAATTACCAATTTGTCAATATTATCCAAAGTACTTAAAAATATTTTTAATTATCGCGTTAATTTGTTAAAACTAATATGTAAATTGTCAAACATCACTAGATATAGATAGTCTCAGGCTAGGAATGCCTTATGTTAAAAATTTATAAAAAAAAAAAAGTAATGCGGTCCTCTCCACAATGATCGTTGTGAAAACGTTTAAGATAATATTATTATTATTGTCGCAATACGTAGCACTTTACCTATATTATGGAATAGTGTTATCACTTATCATCCCTACAAAACAGTAACTAAAATAACGAGGGAAAACAGAAAGAGTTGAGTGAAAACGAAAAACTGAGGGCAGTCCGCTCGGAAAAGCCGAGGACAATTGCCGTCCGTCGCCCTCCGCCGCCCGGATCAGCGGCGTCGTCGTAGGCGGCGGCGACACGACATCGTGAGCGCTCTCCCTTCGCGATTTCGCCAGTCGGCGTCCGGTGTGCACGCCACGCTGTCCGTCGTCCGACGCTCCCTCTCTGCACGCGAGTGTTTCGACCGCCAACGTTTTTTTCTTCGTGTTCCGAGTGTTGTTGGTGTGTCCGTCTCGAACAACGACGTGTTTCGCATCCCGTAGGTATACTCTTCCGAATCATCAGTGTAATATTATAATAATATCGTTGGCTCCGACGACGTGTCGGACGAAATCGAACGAAAATCTTGTTCGTCTGATCCTCTCCCACCCCTCCCTACACACTTCAATTTATACGATATCGTTTTGACTACCGATAGGCGGTGGTGGATTATTTTAGATCGTCGACGTCGATCATATTATAGTTATTATATTTATATCTATATACCTACTTACCAATACCTTGGTATAAAACTTAGTGTCGTGACGCGGTGATACTGACGAACAAACGGCCAGCGGCGGCGATGCGGTCGTGCGTTCGGGCCTCGGGCGGCGCGTGACCGCGTCCCGGTGACGGCGATTACTGCATCAAAGTTACGATGTGGCCGCGTCCACAGTTGCGCCGGCCGTGCGGTGGTCGGTGCTGGTGATATCGGTCACCGGCACTATGTTGTTGACAATGTTCGGCGGTAGCGCTGGAACATGTTGGCTACGACTGATTGCCGTCGTGTGGTCGGTGCACGTGTTGGATAACTCATCGACGACTGTCGCAGCATTACCACCTGTTATACGGATCGGTGAGTTTTCCCGACGACAACCGTCATAGTTGTTGTCGTCATTATTATTATTGTTTAATAGAATAGCGAAATTTCGCGAATTGTGAGAGTCGCGATGTTATGGTCAACATGTAGTATCACGTCATTATGACACGCCTATAATTATTATTAACAGTTTTTTTTTCAATTTAATTATTCTTTTAAATAAAACAGTGAACAAACTTGAATTCGAATATTCGTTTTCGAAGCTCAAGTGGACGAAATTTACACGGTTGCCCTTATTTAATAACAATTATTGTTTGTAGCATTAAGCAAGTCATTAGAACTTGGGAGTTTAACCATAAAGAATTATCTTATAAGTAGGTATTTTTAAATGGTGTACATATTAGCGATTTAATATGTGTATTATAATATTATCGTTTTAAGTTATAAATTAGGAGTTAATTGTGATCAGAACACATTTCAAGTAGTTCGTTAATATTATCATTTAAAAAAGTTCAATGATTAAAATATTATGTTCTCATTTATAAATTGTTATTCCTATTATGATTCATATTACCATTGTCCATTGCATAAGTATATATCTACCTACCTACTTGTATTTGAATGTTATTATATTCGACTTGCTCTTTTGACTAAAAATATTGTATTCCTAGAAGGGTTTTACGAATGAAATATTATTTTAATGTATATACCAGATACCTACGCAGTCAGCACATGTTTTGTATAATCATAATATTATGATCAAAGAAATAGAATAAGTACCACTTTATTCATATTTTATCATAATATGTTTTGATCATCGAGTATGTTCCTCCATATTATATCTACAATAAAATACAATGTTTTTGAAAAATAATAAATAGACAATTGAAGTAACTGGGTAGTTACCATATACCCAGAAAGCTTATAAAATCGCAATTGTATAGTAAATTACAAAATATTAATAGTTACGTCTCACAGTTTTTCGCTTCTCTTGAACAATCTGACAAGAAAGACTCGTGCAATTTTGTTGCTCAGCCTTCGAATGTTATGTAATACTATGTATGATAATTAGGATAGCATGATATGGTTACTACATGATAATTACCTATCAAACAATTGCAAAAATATTGAATAAACTTTTTTTCTTAGTTGAACATAAAGACCGCTGCATCTCGGAATAAACTTTTTTTACTAATTATTAGTAAATCAAGCAGAAATTATTGATTACAATATTTGTTATCACGTTTTTGCAACGTCAAGATGCTATCCCCACTATTCTAGATGTTTCAGACTTTCCATACACATTCTGTAAAGGTATATTAGGTATATTTTATGATTATAACATTTTTAAATGATTAGCTGCTGAATATTTAATCTATATAAAACGAAAGTTTATATGCGCATGGGATATATTAGGTATGTACTATAACTGTAGCCGTACAAACAACAAACAGGAATCAATGTGATATGTAAATTATGTCAGATGTTCGAATTCAGTTGCCAAAAAAAAAATGAATTTTATATTATTATAACACTTGGGTAATTAAGACTATGGATATTCTGAGATATTAATATGATACAGAATTTTTGTAGACGGGGAGAATGAATTATATCTAATTAGTTAATTAATATTTCAATAATAATATTCATCGCTTGTGTAATTAAATTATTGTATTTTTAATTTTTTTACACTGGACAATAAACATACCAAGTACAACTGTTTATTATTAAGTATCGGTCGACGGTCGTTGCTCTCAAAAAAACGATGATGGTTCTTTAGTTTATTCCGTCATTAGTTTTACGGCGCAATTATGCTTTGGTAGTTTCATCGTAGTTTGTATTGTTGCTCTGAAATCTGGAAACCCGGAAAGACCATTACACAAAAACATAAAATAAATATTAGCAAGTATAATGATAGCGATGATACCCATATTGATAAGTATAATAATATTATAATATTTAATAAACAATGATGAGATGGGCGTATTTTTGTTTAATTTTTTTACTTGATCCAACACAGCTTAGTAGTCGGTACTTATCAACGAACTAATAAGCACGGTAAGTACACTTGTATTTTACCGCGTTGTCTTATCAAGCGTCCGATACGCTGTATAAGCTAGAAAACTAAAGATAAATATTGTCTTAACTTTAACCAAGTCGTTGTATGGTAATGGCAAAACATTTCAGAAGTTAACCCTTTTATTATCTACACATCTTGTGTTACTTGATAAAAGTGATAGATAGGTATTTCATAATAATAAACTGGATCATGCGCTTATGTATTAAAATCAAAACATTAACATTGACAACATTTAAAAAATGACCGAATTTTTGAAAATTACTACTATCAATTGTATTCATAGTAGATAGTAACTTAGCATAATTTATATTGAATAATAAATAAAAAATATTAAAATCACTCAAAACAATACATATAGGTGCCTATATTTATATAATTTATATAAATTAGGTATTTATTCATGTGTAGTACATAAATAACATATACATAATTCAATAGACTTATTTGATTATTTAATTGTATACAATTACATAGTTTTTATTATTTTAATAATTTAGATGACACTAGATAAGACACTGGCAGTAATAGCAAACAAAACTGTATTTTTAATAAAATACATTTTTTTGTTGTATTTCTACAGGATATGTTTTTACAATCTGTTCGTAGGAGCAATGAAAACATTTGATCAAGAGTATTATTTACTGTACATGAATCGTTTGACGGAAGTAACCACGCATTTTGTAACCTATTTTGAATACTAAGTTTGTATTAGAATTATCTAGTAGGTTACGACACCGTTTGGGTTTATGATGTCTTGGGGGTTAACCTTTAATCGTAGTTAGATTTTTTAAAGTGGGTTTGGAGGGGGGACCACCCTAGTTATACTTTTGTAGAAACTTATATAGAACAGCATTGTTTCTTCTTGCACGGATTTAATCTTGAGATCTATTGTATCTAATGTATTGAGTGGTTAGTCTGGTTAGATACATAGGGTGCTGTATTAATTCATTTTCTCAGGGCAATATTTTGAATTTAATTTCGTTGATGTTGGATTATATACTAAACTAAATTTTGTCAAATTTGCTTTTAATTATATCGAGTTGTGTAGTAAAACATATCGGGAACGTACATAAATCGCATGTGTACCGGATAGCGGCTATCGCAGACTAAATTCAATAAAGTATTATAATCAAATCACTACTCATGATATAATGTTTCAATACGTTTTTGTAAATCCTTTAACCCTGTGCGCATTTTAAGATTTAACACATTCCTAATACAGTTTACCATACATATTTACCACATACTGTGTAGTGTTATTTATATAATAAAAAATGTGCATAATATTATTATACCTTGTAATAAAGTAAATGCACATCGACATGCATGCCACATTAATACATTTATTTTTCCATCTTATACCTCACGCTAACGGAAGCGTTTACGTGTAGTTAGCACACTAGACATTTTTCTCCGTCATATACACCATCCATATACGTGCCATTAGGCGTTGAAAAGTTCAACATAAATATTTAAAAAAAAAACGTGTATATGCATTTTCGAGTAGGCGCATTTGTGCAAAATTATAAATAAATAAAATACACTCATTCGTGTGGATTTTAAAATAATAATGGGTCATCTATATCTAGACCAGACCAGACACAAAAATGAGTGCTATTTAGTTAAATTTATTTTTATACCTATCTTTCATGTTAAAATTTTGTAACTATGTAAGTAATTATCTATACAATGGTATGTGTATAATTTAAATTTAAAAATACATTTTTCCTTTTATCATACATCTCCCTCAACCACAAATTAACCTGTATGGCTGTAAATTCTCTTCTACGCCATCTGATGCAACTGGCCAACGAGGGCCCTTGCTTTGATTACGGCGCATTTAAGTTATTTCCTGTATTTTTATTATATTGTTTTAAACATTAAAACCAGATTTATATTTGAATAAAATAAAATAAAATGAAAATATGCGTGAACGTACCTCAATTTTGTGTTATTGGTAAATGATCTACTGATCTCTGACCTCTGGAATGTGACCAATTTTATTAATAAATAATTGCGTTTAGTACCTATAATAATTCAGACCCAATGACATTTTCATAAAATGTGTTTTTAAATTATTCATAATTTTTATATAATAAATTGTTTATGGGTAGTTATGACCAAATCGCGGGTTGTTACTGTTTACATGGTTTCATTTTATCGTCCGATTCATTCATTGTTGTTGTATAATTTGTCAAGGAAATAACGTCGTCACTGACTTTTGCTTTTGGTAAATACACCCTACTATGGGGCAACAATTTTAATTTGTTACATTAGTTGTATCGGTGAAGATGTGTGAATCTTAAAAAAAAATATATTATTTTATTTTAACTATTCAACATTAAATTCAAACCTAAACATTCTTGTGAGTGTTTTTTTTCAATGTTCGTTATCAAAATTTTTAATTTCAAATGATGAAATATAATATGGTTTCTAAAAACCATGAAGTAAATATCTATTGATAAATATTGGATATTACACCAATTTTTATTAATCTTGATCATTTATAATTTAGATGAGTTATTAATAGATATAGAGTGTACTCGAATTTAGAAAAGGCATCTCCTGCTGTCATTTAACTTATGTAATATAAATGTCGTATGCTTTATAAGGCCAATAATAATATGTAAATAAGAAATGTTTGGTTTAATATTCAATATTTATTCATAAAAAATATCCAAAAAATTTTATTTAAAAATGAAGTACGCGAGACTTTGCCTTTGAGAATACTTAAACAAAAATCATTAGAAAAAAATATTAAAAAGTTTGATATCAAGAAGAAGGAAAAAAATGTTACCTGTGTAAAGACTGTTAAAACTGTATAAAACATTTTTTTCTTTTAATTGTCGCAGTGATATCGATTTAAAAAACGATGTTTATTCAAACACACCAACACGTAGGTACGTTATATTACATAATAACATCTATTATTATGTAGGTATTGAAAATCACAGCA